AGCAGAAATCATTCCATTAACCATCCACTCAAAAGACTGAATATATTCTTACTTCATTCTGAAACAAGTACAAATGTACTTATCTATTCCTTAATCCCTCCATGGTCCTTCAGCTTAAACACTGCTTAAAAAGTGTCAGTGCTTTTTCGTTATTTTATGACAATCTCTTCCCACCCCAACTCCATTAATAAATTTTCATACACATTTCATGACAAAACCAAATCTCTGTTGATATTTTTCCATTGTTTCAAAGCAAAATAGAAAACACAAACCCCAACCTACTAGTACAGAAGAAATAGGATAAGACAAACCAAATTAGACATTTGCTAACATACAACAAATACAGACAGAAAGATAGGCTGTAATACTGAAACAAGAAACAAACAAACAAACCAGAGCACCAGGTCTAGTATAGCAAAATTTCCCTTCTAAAGAATTTATCTAATACATGCCCATCGGTCAGTGGGAGACACAAGTTCATACATGCACGCTGGTGGCTAATAGCAATATATGCTGTCACTGATACTGTAACATTGCTACTCTCACTGGCATGGTGAAAACCTTCAGACTTTACCAACTGGGAGTCTGATTCTTTGGCAGGTCTGTATCCTGGGAGCCCACTAGAATTCATCACCGCCTTGGCAATGGGAATTGGCAATGGGAATGAAGTTTCTTCCTCTCTCTCTGGGGGCAGAGCCAGGAGATGGAGCAGACAGTGTTCTCTAAAGCCAGCTAAGCATGTCAGAGCCCAGGGCAATAACCAAACCCGCTTCTTCATTATGACCTTGAACATGCTGCTCTTTCAGAGGGTGACAACAAGGTGTTTTTCTGTATCTTAATGGCATCCAGTGCCTCCAGGATGCAGTCACGCACATACAAGCACTCCTCCTTTCTTTGTTTCTATGGTATATTTCTCATAGGAATCATATCCCACAATATTCATATTTCTGCTCCATCCATTTCAGAAAGAGTTAGACAAGGGCAAAACATTTACCCTGAGAAAAAATATTTCTGACACTGAAGTAAATCAGTTTCCTTGCCTGTTCCAAGTTAAGATTTTAGAACCTGCAATGGGAAAGATGTAGGATTTTATTTGCTGTAAAATGTGTCAATAGTAAAATGGGATATTTACACACTTCCCTCAAAACCTCATAATCACATTTCTTGAGCTTCTGTGAAAAATACACAGACTAGGCCTTTATTCTTCTGCCATATGCCTGCATTTGATTGAAGCCGAATATGAACAACCCACTTTTTACTATTTCACTTAGAAGCACAAGTATATTGAATTAATGTCCAGCCAAAATGAAATGAGGTGATCTGCAATATTTAAGACATTGTATTATCAGTATCTGAGAACTCATAATCGTAACTTGAAATTGTTAAGTGCTCACATTCATTTCATGTATTATATAAGTATTGTATCAGATTAACCAACTATAGTGTAAGGTGACAACTTAAGCAAATTGTTTCAGTTTCTCTTTTTCATCATCTTGATGTACACTTTTTCATTTAATTTGGAGGAAGTTTTACAAAGATGCTTTCTTTCAGTTCACATTTTCTATATTGCCAGATATAAATGCTTTAACTTGAGAATATCACTCAGGTGTCCTCTACACCATCTTGTTATTTCCTTTTCAAAAATTGGATAACATTTATAGTAAAGAACTAAGTTACAAACTCACATTTAACCCCAAAATGATTCCATTTGATTCTTAACTTTCCTCACATTTCTGGCCAAAATTTTGAATTATATATATCCTACTAATAATACTTGAACAGCATTAGTCAACTAAAATACACTCTTGAAATAGTAGTAGTTTTTGCTGAAAATATTCCCCCTTTTTTGATTGAAATTGAGTGAACATGACTTTCCTTTTCCTCATGTGTTTTCCACCCATTATCTCTTGATAACATACAAGATAAGGATTTTATCATGAATATGTAAGAATTATCTACAACACCTAGAAACAATTTCAAAATAACTACCCCTAAAAAGCAAACGAATACACTCACACAGCAACTTCTGAATTGAGCAAAAACCAAAAAGTGCTCATTTGGTGGTGGGGGACAGTCTTAAGGTTTGCCCCAAAAAATACAGACCAAAAAATCCAAACAAAAAAAAAAGCTTTCCTCACATCTCTGTATAAAACAGCATTAGTGCTTTAAACTTTCATGTTTTTCAAGGAGAGCTCCGTTCCAAGTTGCACTGAAGGCTGCACAGATTATAACTAGTTGTCTTTGTGCACAAACTTAATTTTTTTTCATATGCACAGACAAGTGATGCCCACTTGACTCAGATAAAAAACAGCAGTGAAATAAAACATTAATAAAGAATTTTTAGATTTTGATTAATAATGAACACTAATGGAAACCAGAAACTATATATATATGTGTGTGTGTGCGTTTTATATATATATATACACACACACACACATATCTTAGCAATTGTTAGCTACATTATGTCTGTCTTGATCCTTCTCAGTCCCAGTCCACTCCTGGGGCTGTGCTGATACGGGAGGTCCCGTGTGCTACATCTCAGCACGGGAGGAGGAGATCTTAGTGTGCGGGCCGTTCTGTTGAAAGGCTGCAGCAACAGGGACAGCTGCAGTGCCTTACTGTTTGCAGAGGGAAGAAAAATCAGCTGTTTGCTGCTGCCTCAGCTGTTTAATTCTTTCTTGGAAGAACTCCTGACATCTGGATTTGGCCTATGAGCTGCCAGTTGAATCCTTGTTATTTAGGGCTTTAATACACAAGCATCACTAGAATCAAAGTGTCTACCTCCGTGTTTCATATCTGCTACATACTACCATTACCAACAGCAAGTTTATGACCTTTCTGTTATTTTGAACCAAATTTTAAGATTAACACCATCAGAAAAAAAATCTCTCTGTAACAATGAAAATCATCATCATCTCTAAAATGACAAAACAATGTCCCTGAAAGCCTATGGAAAAACACAGGCACTGTTACAATGGTAAAACCTTAAAATCAATGCTAAAGTGCTACACAAATGTGTAATAGTCAATAGCGAGCAGTTCAGCTTAAATACTGAAAAGAAGTAGAACAAAAGAACTCTGAACTAAGACTAGCACATTGCTCTTAACATGCTCCTTGCAGCACTTTTAATATTTAGGTATACACACCAACATATACACGGTGGCAGTTAAACTGTGTACTACTTGCATAACTTTATCCCAAACAGGTTATGAATCATGCTCAATAAAGTACATAGCTGTCTACAATTTGGAACCTTCTGACCAAAGTAATCTATGCAGCAAAACCAGATTTAATAATGTTGAATAACTGTAAGTAAGGCCTAACACCAAAGAAAGACCGAAGACTTACCTCAGTTTTATTTTAACATATTTCTTTGCAATTAGAATTAAATATTTACTGCTTAATTTCATACATCTCCTTCTGTCACTTTTAGGCTAGTTCATTTACAGTTGTACAGGGAACATCTAAATGACTAATGTCTTACTCCAGACAGTCAGAATAATTGGATTTGTCTCTATTTTTCAGATTTGTTCAATTATAGGGTGCTCATCAATCCTACATTTAAAAGAAGTCCTTTATCCAACCTTGCTTCTGACAAGTGACAACTAAGTGATTTAGGAAGAGGTAATTTGGTCAAATAAGAGTCCTTTCAAGTAGACCCATTTAAAGGATTAATACACACACATTAATTTAAAACTGAGCAGGAATACACTTCTAGAAAGTTTGAGGTATTCATGCTCAAAGGTCTTCATTCACCTGTCCATAGCCAGTTCTGTGTTATCTCCAAGTTTCAGTCTTTACTGTTATTTATCACCAATGTCAGGGAGAGAGAGATACTGTACTTCCAACTTGACCATTACTTTACCAGTGAAAAACATTCCCTCTGAATAAAAGCATCATTGAAAAAAATGCTTTCTTAGATTACATATTTGCAATGCAAGATGCCAATTATTAGCATCTAATTTGGAAACAAGTAGTTAAGCAAAATTTGTTTTATCTAATTAGGTGGGAGAAAGCTAGGTGTTTATAGACTCACATACAGTACTTATACTTTCAATGTTTCCAGAATCAATTTAAAACCAGCATGTGAAAAAGTGAATACATTTAGATAAGATAGCAAGTAGAGATGAACCAATGAATAACTACTGATAAAATCCCTTTACGTATTATTATTCTATGTACATACACATTTTCTAATACATTCACGACTAGAGGAAAGAAAAATTCATGTATGTATCTGGCCTGAAGAAAATTCTGTGCACTGGAATTCTAATGTGCAGGTTTTGACTCACGTCAGAAGTTAAAAGAATTCTTAATGGACCAATAAATATGTAAGAATCGACTGTGAATTTAGCATCTGCACCTGTTGGAATTTATTGAGTCTCTGGGTTCAAATCCCCACTGCACTTGCTACCACAAGTGAGATTCCTTTTTTGTTGTTGTTGTCAATAAGGAATATCTCCATGCTGTCAGAATATTACACGCTTTTATTTAAAATCAAAAGGATATGGCAGGAAATGAAACAGTATGGTGTTACGGCAGTTCTGAAAATATTTAAAGCTATTAATCATTTTCCTGACTTACTCACCTGGAAGGACAGTAAACCAAAGTTATGAATAACTATCACCTCTTTATTTCAGTGTTTTGTAGGTATTTTTAAGGACTTGACCTGAAAGTGCTTTCCAGAATTATGATGAAAGCATATAATTGATTTTAATTGCATTTTTCCATTATCATGTATCAGTGTATTTTCAGATGAGTAAAATGGTTTCTGCCTCCCTTAATTTCTTTAAGTTACAGATAGCAACTAGAGGCTAGGCTTCCTAGACTATAGCACAGATTGAGGTCAAGAGTTTACAAAAATGCTTTTATCATTTAATCACAGTAATCAATCACTGAAATTAGATCTGTAGATGTAGCATGAAAGGCTTCAGAGAAAGAAATAAACAGCTTGATCCAGAAGTGTTTAAAATCAATTAAATAAGGTTTTCATTTTATGTTGCTCTAATTTAAGAGGAGCTTTTAATTTAATTCCCACACTGTTTTAATTCTTTCCACTCTATGACCCAGTTACACATTTTAACAGAAAGCATTTGCTTAAGTCTCTCAGAAACAATGAATTAATATTACTCTGAAAGTGACAGCAGGTCAAGGGAGGCGATCCTGCCCCTCTACTCAGCTCTTGTGAGACCCCACCTGGAGTACTGCATCCAGCCCTGGGGGCCACAGTACAAGACAGACATCGAGCTGTTGGAGAGAGTCCAGAGGAGGCCACGAAGCTGATCAGAGGGCTGGAGCACCTCTCCTATGAGGACAGGCTGAGAGAGTTGGGGTTGTTCAGCCTGGAGAAAAGGCGGCTCCAGGAAGATCTAATTGTGGCTTTCCAGTACCTGAAGGGGGCCTACAGGAAAGATGGTGAGGGACTGTTTATCAGGGAGTGTAGTGACAGGACTAGGGGTAACGGGTTTAAGCTGAAGGACGGTCGATTTAGATGAGATGTTAGGAAGAAATTCTTTCCTGTTAGAGCAGTGAGGCACTGGAACAGGTTGCCCAGAGAGGCTGTGGATGCCCCATCCCTGGAAGTGTTTAAGACCAGGTTGGATGAGGCTTTGGGCAACGTGGTCTAGTGGAGGGTGTCCCTGCCCACAGCAGGGAGGCTGGAACTAGATGATCTTTAAGGTCCCTTCCAACCCAAACCATTCTATGATTCTATGACATTTTATAGTGAGTGCAAAAAATGAGACTTTCATTCCCATCCCAAAGTACAGAGTCTGTTGCCATTACCTTTCTACAAATACTAGAAATATAGTGTTAACATGCAATGTATTTCTTAATTCTTAGTTTACTTACTCTTTTTGTACCAGACTTCCTCAGCTCTCTGAACTTCCCTTTTAATAACCTGTCAAATCATCTGCCAGTACGTTCAGTCCTTATGCCTTACTGTGTCACTCAACTTTGAAGTCAAGTTTCAAAATAACTTTAAGACACACTCAAATGAATAAACAAACCATTTCAGAAGTAAGGAGAATAAAGATAAAAGTGTATCACAGTCATTCACTGCAATAAGACATAGGTAACTTCCTGGGCTTTTATAGGAGTAACTATTTACGAACTATTTGCATCATTTACATAATATTACATTGCCATAATTATACACCATCTAGAGGAGAGAGGCTCCTAAGAATATTAAACGATAAAATAACTTCAAATAAACTTCTGAACTCCATAAATCTTCATGAAGTTCTTCTGAAGTGTATTAGCCATCAGGATACACACTGGAGGATAACCTACAGTACAGCTCAAAATACAAGATTTGTGGGATTTAAGTAAAAACAAAGAGAAGAACAACTTAGTTTAGATGTCATGGTATTTCAATGGAAAAGGAAAGACTTTGGTTCTAGTCTGCTCTCTAGACTGTTTACATTACAGTCTTTATTCAATGACTACTGAACAGAAGATGTAAAATCCCAACTGAGCAAGGCTATGGAGTAAAAAACTTGATATTCAGGGCACTTTAACTATGCAAGTTCTGGGCAGTAATAGCATCACCTCCTTCTCTGTCATATCTGAATATGAACAGCTGCTGTGATAGTTATTTTAAGGCTTAGAGGTACAGAGACAAAGCTCAGCTGCTCACTGCCTTGTCTCTGAATCACATCACGTAGGCTGAATACAGGCACGTAACTCTTCAAACTAGGTCATTTTTAGGTATGTGTCAGCATTTGAAAAACTCCAACACAAAATGTCAGTGGGTGACTCCTGTTTAGGCAACCACTAGAGGATCTGAATTGACTTCTTTGACTTCAGCATCTAAATTCTGTCAATATACTGTTTTAAGCAAAGTGAGCTCCTCAGTTCTTTCCTTACTGAGTATTAATTCCAACTCTTGAACCTGCACTCAAGTTCATCCAAGATATTGTACAGAGGAAGATAATAAACAGACCTGTAAGAGAGACTTACTGTGCTTTGTAATGTGCTAGTGCAAGTATTTGTCATAGATCCCAGTAAGGAAGACATTGAGACTCCATAAGGTATCGATTAAAATACCTCTTAGAAGCGATGCCATGAGGAAGAAAAAGGGGATAGCATAGATAATCTTACATGTCTTCAGATGCTGGAAAACCCAGGTTGTGCAGCATCAGACAGACCTCTAGTCAGGGCACGGCATGCTGCGCATATCCTGTCTGTAGTGATGTTCACTGGCATTAAGGTCTCTAGAGCTCTTTTAGGTTTTTCTTAGAAGTAAGTCTATTCATCATTTCTACTGTCAAGCAAAAGGATGTTCACGTGAAAACACGCTGCTTCACTTCAAGGTAAAGACAAGGACATGCCAGTGGTATCATCACCAGGTGCCAAGTGAGAGCTGCCTACAGGCTTCTCCGTTACGTTTAGCTGGCTAAGTTTATCCTGCAGCCAAGCAGTATGAGCAGAACAGCACAGGCACGCACCTACTCAGGTCAGCTGTTATGTGGATCACTACGTACTCAATGTGCAACAGTCTCCCTGTAAGCATCACCACATGCCCTCTCCCACTTAACACCAGATGGTAGCTATACAAAGTATTGGGAAAGCAAGTAATAAAGAAAGAAAAGGAAGAGAAAGATTACACTGACAAATTTAATAGGAAAGGTTACAAGCTTTTTTTTTTTTTTTTTTTTTTTTTTTTAGAGCAGGGGCTTTATTTATTTCAGTTAAACTTGGATAATATAAAAATCACTGGTAACTTATTAAGTGTATCTAAAATTCCTGATTCTCAAAAGGGCCAAAAGAGTATTGCATTTTTCAGCAGATTCACAATTAGTGTTCACTCCATGTGACAGCACAGAACAGGCTCCCCAACTCTCAGCAGCCTGGTGTTACTAGCTAACAGTGAAAGCTCAAGTCAGGATTCTATAGAAAATTATTTGGGAAAGGAAAGGGAGAGATAATCAGTTCCTGTGATCCAGGAGGAGTGCCTAAAATGCTACTTCATACTCCACTCCTCTGTGCAATTCCCCACCAAGAGTCACTGTCTGAGCCTATACAATTACGCATTCTGAATATACCATGTAAATGCATACTTTTAAAAAGGGAAACATTTAGCAGAGATCAAGTCTTGTTCACTTGATAAAATGAACAAGATTCACTAAAATTAGTAATTTGTATGACTGAAAATTGAACATGCATTTGATAGTCTTTATTTCTAGGTTTACATATACTCTACCTTCCAGATGTATTCTTTAATATAGCAAGAGCATCTGGGTAGCCATCCATATTGTAATCTCCAATATGAAGTGTAATTGGAAATGAAATTTCCATTGAAGATTTGTCATTTTGATACGGTACGAAGCCCCAGAGTGTGTCTTTATTTCTGAAGTCTTGCAAGACTGGAATCCACTGTAAAATAAACAAACAAACAAGAACAGCTAGGTAAGGAAACCCATTTTATTTATTTAAACAACCTAATTCTGTTTTAAACAGCTGACATTTCTTCACTGCATCAGGATCTTACCCATTTACAAATTTCCAAAGAGGAAATAAGGATTATTTCCTAAGACTGCCACCAAATGAAAAAATTAATTTGAAGTCTTTTCTATGCACTAAATTATTCCAGAACAGGAAAAAAATGGGTAAGGTTGTAAGAGTAAAGGACCTGTGTTTTGGAATGTGTCCAACGTATGGTGATATTCAGTAACAGCCTCACTGAAATTCAAGCTTGCCTGGAATCTGTGCTAATCCTTAAGTGTAGGTAAGCCAAAACCATCAGGGCCTTGAGATCCTGAGTCCCTTTGCTTTCCTTGGAATTACAAACAATAGGCAGCATTAAAGCTGGAGGAGGGATGCACCCTCATTAAATACGTGGACACCACCAGTTTGGGGACTGCAATGAATGTGCTTCAGGGCAGCATGGCCATTCAGAGAGGACCTAGAAAGACACGAATGGGCAAACAGGGACCTCAAAACAATCAGCAAAGAAAGTCCTGCACAGAGGAGTAAACCCTGGAACGGTACAGGCTGGAGACTGACCAGCTGGGTAGAAGTTCTCCTAAAAAAAGATGTGTGGGTCCCGGTGAACTGTAAGCTAAAGCTGAGCACAGCAGCAATGACAGCAAACAGCATATTGCCCTGTAACTGCTGCCTATGCTTCTGCTGATTGAGAATGATTATTTCTCTTTATTCAGTACTTGTTAGTGAGCATCTGGATCCTGCATCCAGTTTCATGCCCCACGATTCAAGAAAGATTTGAGAATATTGAGTATGTTTAGAGAAGGGTCACCAAGATGGTCAGGCATTGAATATTTACTCAAAGGACAGGCTGAGGGCACAGGGCTTGTTCTGCCTGGGGAACAGAAGATTTAGTGGGGACCTCATAGCGGCCAAGGAGATAACTGAGAAGACAGAGCTAGGCTGTCTACTGAGATATATGGCAGAAGAACAAGGGACAACGGTCACAGACTGACACAAGGGAGGTTCCAACTAGAGACAAACAAAACCAAAAATTCACTATGATGCTGGTAATTAAGCTAGGAAAGAGGCCCAGAGAAGTTGCAGAATCTTTGTCTTTGGGGGTCTTCAAAAGTTTGACTGGACAAAGCTCTAAACAACATGGTCTGAATTCAGTGTTGACCCTGCTTAAAGCAGGAGGCTGGATCTCCTAAGGTTCATTTCTGCTTGAATGATTCTATTATTCATGGATATTTAGAAGTTCAAGAGCTTCAATTCCCCTCCTATCTCCCCAGCAGCCCCAGATACTGAACTGTTTGATAAGAAATTAAGATTACAGTGTCAAATTGAAAGTACAAAAGAAATGCAAAGTATAATTTCTCCAGGACAAGAAATAGAATGTATCTGCCCTTAGTCTCCAAAGTGCTGCAGAGGTGCTAAATCGGAATTTATCTTAATTAAAATCAAAGTAATTTCACAAGTTGGTATGAAGCTGAAGTACTAGGGTTAACATTTCAATGCTACAGAAAAATTCACTGCCATTTTTAAAGCCAGAAGTAATTTTATATGTCAAGTAACTGACAATGCCTTCAAAAGGACGGAAGGGTGCCATCTTAAAGGATCACTACCACCAATATCAAAAGCACTTAAAAGCATCGTAAATGTCTCTCAATCGAGCCTTAATTTCGCTATTTCAGGCACCAGAATGAAATCCCTGACTAGCATCCTTTCCTGCTGTGGAGAGACTCCCTCACTAACACAGTCCCATAATCAACAGCATCCCTGCCACACGGCCATTGCCTGCGACACTTGGACTGGCCCCTTGAGATCACATACAACCACATGCATAGGAGAGAAGCCTCTAAAATAATTAAAAACATGCACTAAAGTCAACTTTGTTTGGATATCCCAGATGGCTTAGAAGCCTGGAACAGTTCTGCCAGACACTGTGTGTCTGCCTGTGTAAGTGATGACATCGAAACTGCAACAATGATCTACAACACTCTTGATGAAAACTCAAAGTTGAAATTAAACCTAGTTTGACCCCCGCCCCCCTGTCCCATGTGCATGCCTATTTAGTTACTGTTAGCAGCTGAAGGTTTGGAAAAATCTAAGAAACAGAAAATAAGAAGGAGACACTTAACCTGAGGGAAATTTTTCAAAGGGTTACATTTCTTAGCACTTGTCATGCAGAAGACAGATGAAATGATATTACTACAAAATACTGTAATTTTGAAAAACACTGATTGAAATCAGAACCATGAAATAGAATATAGTTTTTACTTTACATGGTATCATTCACACAGTCATTGCAATGAAATCCAATTATATCCATCATATACTTTCTAAATGTTCCCATGTATGGTAACACTATTGTAAAGAAACAAAATTAAAAATGAATTTTTAGGTACAAATCTGAATTTGTATTCTTTTTTACTCAGAGTGATTCGTAGAAAGCAATTTTACAATCATACGGTCTACAATGAAATGCAGAGATATAAAACAACAGGTGAGCAAACCAGAAACATCACCTATAGCTACCAAGCATCAGCACTGTGCACGCTCCAGAGTAAGGTTCATCCATCTCACTGAATCAGTTGTGGGACTTTTTGTAACAGCAGTTACAGAACATTTCAAAAACATCAGTCTTGTTCGATGTGTAACCAGAGCACGATCCCAGCACCATATGTAACTTACTCTGACAGTTTAAATTCAGAGTAATCCACACTTTTGGTGAAACTCATTCTGTATATTTCTATTATAAATGGCAGTATTGTGTAATGTAATGCAAGACTAATTGTTCACGTGCCTCAGCACATAGATTTCAGTACGGAATACAAAAAAAAAAAAAGAAGATATGTTTGTCAATAATATAAATCTCCTGCTTCTTTTGTATTTGATAATCCAGACAATTTAAACTGTTATAGAGGAACAAGGAAAAACTAACAGTGACCAACTGCAGCTGATAATCTATACTGTCAGATAAACCTCTCTGGCCTAGAGAATGATACCACAAAGACCTGTGGTTTGCTGTAGGATGCACTGCTGCTGTGGTCTACTTCAGAGCTCCCAGATTTACAAGAGGAATAAAGCTATAACCTTTCTATTGAACAGAGAAGGGTTATAAGGACCACCAACCCCACAAAGAAACTCTCAAAGGAAGGGACTGAAATACTATTTGCCTCAGGAAATGAATGAAAAATCATACCAAATACTTGGCAAAATTAAAGGAAAGATTAGTCATCTCTAAAAATATCGTGATATCTAGAGTTTCTACAATTAACAGTAGTGAAGACTTTAAAACAAGCTTCAAGGAGAACTCAGTCTAATTTTCAGAATCTACATGAGAGATCTAAATCAGCTAGCAGATTAGTCTGTAGCTATTGCAGGTGAGTTTAAAGTCAT